TATAGAAACGAAATAATTTTTTAGGTTTATATATATATATATATATAAATTATATATTATAATTTTATAAATCATTATATATATAAAAATTATATATATATCTTTATATGTATATATATATACAGTTGAATAACCAAAAAAATCATAAATTACTATATTGATACCATAGAATTCCACTATAATGTATCAAGTGTAGTAACTAAGCTGTATCTGTGTCTAAGAAATATGAAATTTCGAGCAGACTAAAGACACAACCTACCTCCTTGAAATCTTGGTTTGAAAGAACAAGATGGCGTCCTAACACGTGATAATGGCTGAGAAAGCCACTAGGGGGACATTCTGAGCTTTCGAATGGTTATTCACATGTCATATATTGAAGTAAGTGTATATAAAAGACTGTTTCCAAAAGTAAAAAGGTTCAATTATGAAATTAAATAATGTGTAATACTAAAATTTTAATTATAATTTACAGTTTGATACCAAAATTATTAACATAAATTTGTGAAGTAGTAGTTCAAAAAAGTTTCAATGCGAGTCAACAAACGCGTCTGGAGAGGAATATAGTAGGTATATTGTACAAGTAAGTCCCAAGTTAAGATCAAATAGATAACTAAACTACTTTGTTTGAGAAGTTCTCAATGTAGAATACTTGTTTGGTATAGTTACTATCAAAGGTAGTAAAGAAAAAGTAGTTTATATTATTATTTATCATTAATGATCTTCTTAATTGAACTGAGTGAAGGAAAAATACCTGAATATTAACGAACCCTAAAAACTTTTAATAGTCTATCTTTTTTTTTCAAAGATAAATATTTCAAATTTATAATGTACCAAAAACTGTACTTATAGTATAAAGGATGATTACGTTAAGCTAAAACGATTTGGGAGCCTCTCAACGTCGTTACAGTAGATGTCCTGTCGTGCTATATCTGAACGAAAGAGCATCTTGATAACAGCCCTGCAACGTAGTTTTCATTTGTAAAGGCTCCGTCTTAAGGTTATCATGCCAAAAGAACACAACTCTTCGCTGCAAAAACAAATACAATGAATAGCTAATTTTCTTATTAATACGTTACAGGTCGATAGCAAATAGAAGACTATCTTACCAATAAATTTTGTAGTTCTAATGTGATTCACAAAACAAAAACAAAAAACTGCACACACACGCGCACGCTTTTATTTAATTAAGTTAAATGATCAAAACTAGTGTTACTTGAGAGACAAATAAAACTAGGATTTAAAAAAAAATCTCTAAAGTAGAGAAATGGGTGGGAGTGGCACCTTGAGAAGTAGGGCCCACAGAGCGATAAGCTATGTATACATAGGTTTCGCCTTTATTTGCAAGACTTTTATGTAAATAAAAGTTATAAATTTACAGTAAAGAGCAGATATAGGTATTCGAGTCTTTAAAGACTCACATCTAAATTACCATTCACTGTTTTGAATTCGGTTTTTCTTAAAGTGTAAAGTCGCTTCCCTTACTACTTCGTCCTGTGGTTAAGAACATTTTATTATGGTTTCTTATAACATAATAAAAACGGTAGCATAAGGGATGTTTGTTTGGAATTAAGCACAAAGCTACACAATGGGCTATCTGTGCTCTGCCCACCACGGTATCGAAACCCGGATTCTAGCGTTGTAAGTCCGCAGACATACCGCTTGTGCCACTGGGAGGTCATAAGGGATGTCGAACAATAATCTAATATTTTTGGGCGTGAATCGGTTTTTTGCTGTTTTTATAACATTAATTTTCATAATATATATATAGATTCTAAACGTAACTAATTTTACTGAATTTATTTGCTTAACATGTATTCGACTCTTGTATTTGAAGTGTATAAATTAAAGTAAACCTAATTAAATTATCCAAAAGTTTCTTATTTTCAGTGAATGTATCACAAAAGTTAATACTTTCTTCTGGGGGTATTAACAGTTTATGATATATTCTTGAGCTTAAATCTGTAACACTTAAATATATATATTTAATCAGTAACTGTAAGTAACCAGCCGCATTGCCGTCATTATAATTGTTTTATTTTGTTCTATTCTAAAATTCTAGAAACAGGAGATTTCTTATGATATAATACAAGAGTGATGTTAATAGTTGATACAGGCTCGTGCTGAGATGAATCATTTCTGAGTTATCTCCAAATAAATCAGCGATTCTTGAAAGATATTTACCAAATTTCCTTGTTTTCTTCGTAATTCATAAAAAAAAGATGCAGAGTTTCTTGAAATAGACGATTCCTTTAATTGATAAAGTTATTTGTAGTCATAAGTTTTATTATGAAGAGACTTACTCTGGGGGTTATTCTGCATATTAAAAGTAATTAAGATGTATCAATTTTACCCGATGTTTATTCCTGAATAATACGTAGTAGCTTCTGAGACATTTATCGTTATGTACCATTTCCTTAACTAATACATTTTACAGCATTCCCAAGAGATCATTAACAACTGCATTTATAGCTAATTTACGAAAATTAGTTAGTTAGTTTGTTATAGATTTCGCGCAAAGCTACACGAGGGCTATCTGCGCTAGCCATCCCTAATTTAGCAGTGTAACGCTAGAGGGA